CATATATTTTAAGGCCCACGCTTTGCTTTTTTTTTTTAACTTTCTACTTAAAATAACTTGCATCTCCTAATGGTGGTTGCACTTCACATGAGCTATGGCCCTAGCAAAACATTGTCCTAAATAAGTAAACAACCAAGGAATGGGGTTCGTTTGCGTTAGGTGACTCATATTATACATATACGGGCTCCCACTTAAATCTATCTTAAAATACATTTTTTTAGGGATTTATGATTGAGGTTAACATAATCATGAATACGAAAGAAAATAAAAACATTAGATATTTAAAGAATAATTATTTCATGTGCACTAGAACACATTTGTAAAATATGTGGTACAAAGGTATAAAGCATCCATCTTAAAGATGGATGCAAATACTTGGTCCATCTAAAAATAATTGTAACTAACGGTCCAAATGTTTTTTTAATATAATTCTTATTTTAGTTTTTCAATTTATTTATTTTGCATATTCATAATCTCCATGTTAAATATTAAGGATTGTATGCAATAAGACAACTTACCTTTTGTACAAGAAGATCACAATTACTTACAATCATCTTATATGAAATTTGATAGCTTGGGTGTGTCACAAAGTTCGAGAAAAAGTATTTTAAACTTTGAGCTTGGATAGTAAAATAAATGTAGCCTACCAATTTTATATCCAATGGTTAAGATTGATTGTGACTTGTGACCACCTTGTACTAAAGGTAAATGGTTTTATTATTTACTTTCCTTAAATATTATATTTTCTCTAAAAATTATAATCGATTTATATTTAAAATATACATTTATTGCCAAGCCTGCATTTGTACATGTGCAGGCTTGGTGACATGCTAACCGTGTCCATATTTAAAAAATAAAAGCTTTTATGCAGGCTGGACCGCATTTCTACATATGCGGTCCAGAGTGTAAAACATCCTTCTTAAAGATGGATGCAAGTAGGTGTTCCACATTTAAAAACAATATAAACTTACGGTTCAAATGTTTTCTTACTAGAATTATTATTTTTAAAATTTTTGTATTTATTCATATTCATGATTTCCATGTTAGATATTACATATCCTTAAAAAATTAAGTTTTAAAATCCATCTCAAATTTATATTTATTAAGAGGCCCGCATTTTTTACACATGCGGGATTGCCACATGGAAACAAGGTCCTATTTAACATATATATATATAGTCGAGGCCCTACACAATCAAATTAGAGCCTACCTCAAAAATTTAACTGGAAGAGGTTGTTTTGATACCCAAGTACCATCAAATTGATCATCTTGACAACAAGATACATGGATCTGAGAAAAAAAAAAATTGGGTTTCAAGTTTTGAAAATAGTGTATTTTGTAACTCATTTTTGGACCATCAATTTTCAAGATTTTCAAGTTTTTTTAAATATGTCGGTTCACACTACTTTTGAAGCTAAGCTTTATAAAAAAAAAAAAAAAAAATCATATTTTAAGGCTATCACAAATATTTCCCAAATTGAAACTACATTTTTAGATGAAGGTAGGCTGCACCCTTTCAAATATAGCTTTTTTTTAAAAAAGAAAAAGTTTATATAGAGCCGAGGCTCTATACAATCAAATTAAAACCTACCTCAAAAATTTCACTAGAATAGGTTATTTTGATACTCAAATATGCGCAAATTGATCATCTCGACATCAAGATATATCAACATAAGAAAAAAATGGATTTCAAGTTTTGAAAATAATGTATTTTGTAATACATTTTTGGCCCGTCAATTTTCAAGATTTTCAAGTTCTTATAGATTTGTCTATCTATACTATTTTCTAATATTTAAAATTTATAAATAAAGATAAAAATATATTTTAAAGCTATCACAAGGATTTCTATTATTGAAACTACATTTCTCGACACTATTTGAACGTAGGCTCTAATTTGATTGTTTAGAACCTAGGCTATATCCAAACCGCACCCTTTTTTAAATATACACCTCCTAAATTCGTTTCAGTCCATGGGTCTATTTCAACGTCCATGTTAGAGATGGACGTTGGTGAGTTAGCCGGCTCTTGCACCCGCTGAATCATGAATAACTTTTCGATAAGCCCTCTCTTTCTCTCTCTTCCACACCCCTGCAACCCCGACCTCTCTCTACCCGAGCTCACACACTCTCTCTGTGCCCTAGCCACTACTCAAGTCCTCTCTCTCTCTATGAGCTGAAACCCTCTGGAACCTCAAGGTCCCCCGCCCAGTTCCGGACTCTCTCTCTCTAGCTTAAGCCATTAAAGATATCTCTGGTACGTCCCATGGTTCTACTTTTCATTTCATTGTTCTTTGTTCATCTCTCTCTCTCTCTCTCTCTCTCTCTCTCTCTCTTTTCATTGTCATTATTTATTTCATTTATATCTAAAATTAGGCTCCTGTATCCTCCTCCTTCTCCATGAAATCATTTGCAAAAGCAAAGTAAGATGAACCTGTGCCACTGATTTCTTCTGCATCCGTTTTTCTATTAGTTTTTCTCTTTGTAGTTTCCCACTAATTAAAATCCCCCAATTTCCCTAATATCTATTTTAAACTTGTTTTGATCGCCCAATATTTTAATATTTTGGGGCAAATAGGTTAACAGATACTCACTGGTGAAGCATTCGTGGTGCGATTTTAGTTGAATTTAAGTTTCTGGTTTGGAATCTTTCCGTGGAAGAAGAAGTTAAGGAGGCAGATGTTGAAAGAGAAGATACCTTCATGAGCTTGGGCGTCTGTGATCAATTGGTTGATGCCTGTGATAATTTGGGTTGGGGTTAAGATTCAAATTGAGTCCATTCCTCATGCCTAACAAGGTTTTTCCACCCTACTCTTGTTCTTCATTGATATACCTGATGCCAGTATTGTTTAATAAACGGTATCATTACTGCTCTTTGTCATTGATTTTTTTTTTCTTTTGAATTATCGACAGTATCTCATTGAAATATATTAATTCTTAAAAAAGGTTGATATGTGCGATGCTTCTTCCTCTTCTTAAAGCTGCCAAGTATTTCATACTCAAGACAATTTTTTTGATAATTTCTTCATATTTAGCTTGATTCTGGTATTTCTATGGTTGCTTTCAGTGTATAGATTTATTTTCTCTGTAATCATTTTGTTTAAAATTTAATTTGCGTATTTTTATGTTCGTTTTTTTCTTCCATTTAATCATTATATTTTGGAGTTGCATTTTCTGTTGTTATTTTCTCGTTTTGTGGAAGTACCTATTACACAGAATATGAACTTCCACGAATTGAGAATCTATGGGGTGGTATGAAGTTTTCATGTAATTAAAACAAATACTATCCTATTCTATAATGCAGATTGTTTTGTGCTTTGATCTTTGATCATTATATCTGGGTGTTTCCAACAAGTATGTCTTTTTTGCTACTTTGTTTTTGTGTTACATTGTCATTGGATGTTTCTAGCGAAACATGCCTTCTTTTTACTTGATCAGCATGGCTTCCGGTTTGTTTGTATGAGATCATGCCTTACGGCATTGTTCTTCCACTTAACCTTTGTGTTTCAGTCTCTTATCTGAAGACTCTATTGTTTGCCTCTCACTTGGATTACAAGATGGCATAATTTTCAGGAAAGGATATTATTGGATTGGCGCAAACTAGGTCCGGAAAGACTGAAGCTTTTGCACTCCCCATTCTCCAAGCATTATTGGAGAATCCCCAGGCTTTCTTTGCTTGCATTCTTTCTCCTACGAGGTGGGTTCCACTTATTTGAATGTTTTCATATAATTTATTATCTCACATTTTCCATTGTTTTATTGATTGGATAAATGTTGGTTTCTATTGGTGGAATCACTGCTACCAATCCAAGGAGCTGGCCATTCAAAAATCTGAATAGTTCAACGCTTTGGGATCTGGAATAGGAGTCAAATGTGCAGTGGTAGGTTATGCTGCAATTGTTGTATTTACTCGAATGTATTATTTTCTTTGTGCATGCCTCAATGTTTTAAAATCCGGTTCAGTGGGTCAGATCATTCATCCACAGATCTGTATCGGATCGGTGAATGGGATCGAGTCTGGATTGGTCCAAATCGATCATCATCATCATCATCCAAGCCTAAGCAATGCAATAAGCCCAAGCACCAACCTTATAGAGTCTAACTTGACAACCGGGGAAAATATTTCAAGAAAGTCGACACCACCAACCTTATGGAGTCTAACTTGGCAACCGGGGCAAATATTTTAAGAAAGTCCACACCTTCCTTTTATGCAAACCCTTTTGCAACAAACTTTGCTTTATATCTTTCCAAACTTCCATCAATCCCTTTCATGATTTTGAACACCCACTTGCAACAAACCGTTTTTCTACCCTTTGGCAACTCTACCAAATCCCAGGTCTTGTTTTTAGGAAGAGCCAACATTTCATCTTCCACAACCTTCTTCCAAGATATGGAATCATCCTTTTCCATAGCTTCTTGGTAAATGCTCGGTTCTTTATTCATAACAACCAAAGCATATAGTACTTCAAGATCAACATAGTCACTAAACCGCTCAGGTGGACAAATTACCCTTGTAGATCTTCTTGTCATAGATGGTGCAACTTCTTCATAGGAATCACTTGATTCTCCAACTTGCTCTTCTTCGTCAATGACTTCTTCATTGATACTTGTGGGTGCTTTGTCCGGCATATGACATTCACCAAATAATAGAACATAAAGTTGAAAATCAATTTCTTGGGTGTCATATGGTGGTGCATTGTATTTTATCTCTTTTATAGATGACTTCTCAAAGAAGGTATGGGTGTTCACTCTTAATTCAAAAAGTGATGTATTTCTGACCTTTAAGCATTTTAATGCTGAAGTTGAGAAGAGTATGAGACGCCACATCAAAACACTTCTCACTGACAATGAGAAGAAGTACAATTCTGATGAGTTTACAAAATTTTGTATAGATGAAAGAATCATGAGGCATTTCACCACGGTTTATACTCCCCAACAAAATGGTGTTGCGAAAAGGATGAATCACATTTTGATAGAGCGAGCAAAAAGCATGTTGAGCAATGCCGGATTGGAGCAAGAGCTATAGGCCGAAGCCATGATAATGACTTGTTATCTCATCAATCGATCACCTTCGACGGCTTTGGGGGAGAAAACACCCTAAGCGGTATGGTCTGAAACTTCTTCTAATTATTTTGATTTAAAGATTTTCGGTTGTGATGCTTATGTTTTAATTCTTAGTTGCCAAAAAAATAAACTTGAACCAAAAATCAAAGAAATGCATTTTTGTTGGGTATAGCAAAGGTATGAAATGATATCGGTTATGGGATCCAAGTGCTCGAAAGATAATTACAAGCTGAGATGTGCATTTTAATGAGTTATCCGTATTGATAAGAGGTGTACGAAATGAGATTAAAAAAATGAAAGAATCTCATAATGACACCTCTTGTCAACACGGATAACTCATCAAAATGCACATCTCGGCTTCCAATTATCTTTCGAGCACTTGGATCCCATAATCAATATCCTTTTGAACATTTGGTATACCCAACAAAAATGCGTTTATTTGATTTTGGTTCAAGCTTATTTCTTTGGCAACTATGAAGTAAAACAAAAGCATCACAAAAAAGAATCTTTAAATCGGAATAATCACAAGACGTTCCGGACCATACCTCTTGGGGTGTTTTCTTCCCTAAAGCCACCGAAGGTGATCTATTGATGAGATAACAAGCCGTCATCACGTCTTCGGCCCATAGCTCTTGCTCCATTGCTCAACATGCTTCATGCTCGCTCCATCAAAGTGCGATTCATCCTTTCCGCAACATCATTTTGTTGGGGAGTTTAACCGTTGTGAAATGCCTCTTGATTCCTTCATCTTTACAAAATTTTGTAAATTCATCGGAATTGTATTCCTTCCCATTGTCGGTGAGAAGTGTTTTGATGTAGCGCTCGTACTCTTCTCAACTTTGGCCCTAAAGGTTAAAAATGCATCACTTTTTTATTTTAGAGTGAAAACACATACCTTCCTTGATAAGTCACCTATAAAAGAGGTAAAATACAATGCACCACCATATGACAATATGGGTGAGGGCCTTCATAAATCCAAGTGAACATAATCAAGTATTCCCTTGCTTGTATGGCTTTCGATTTTGAAAATTCGTCTCTGTTGCTTTTCATAGACACAATGCTCACAAAATTCGGATTTCCCAAATTTTATGGTGGGAATTAGTTTCCTATTCATCAAAATCTTCATATCCTTTTCACTCAAGTGGCCCAACCTCCTATACCATAAGCATAGTGGAAGATCATTACTCTCCACTACCGAATTTGTCGCATCATCAACAATGGAACTGTCCAATAGCTTATACAAGTTCTCAACTCTAACACCCTCGATCACAACAAGAGCACCCTTAGATACTTTGAGAACTCCCCCTGTCCGGTGAATTTATAGCCATGGGAATCCAATAAAGAAAAAGAAATTAAACTTTTCTTCAAGTCCGGTACATGTCGAATGTATGGATACTTTCATTATACATCCTTAATTTCACCGTGCCAATCCCAACCATTCTATACTTGAATTGTTTCCCATCAACACGGAACCATCATCACATGGTTCATATGAACCTAACCATGACTTGTGTGGACACATATGATGCGTAGCAACACTATCCAAAATCCAATTTTGATGGAATTCGGGATTGTTATCCATGATATAAACATCTTCTTCAATAAAGCCGAATGTATATTATTCCACTTGATTCACCTCATTTTTGTACTCTTTGGTTTCCTTTGCTTTTTCGAACTTTTGTCCTTTTTCTTTTGTACAATCTTTTTTCATATGTCCCGCTTCACCACATCCCCAACAAACAAACTTGTGCTCTCGACCGTTAAATTTAAATTGACCTTTTGAATTAGATTTAGAAAATTTCGAGAGGAATTACCTCTCTCACTTGAACGACCCCTTGAAAATTGCACTTCTGATTCCGGTTCTCCAATAGATGTCTTTTTACGGAGTTCATGGGCAAGCAAAGTACTAGTCATCATACTTAAGTCAAGTGAACCTTTTTTAATGCAACTTAATGTTGTCACTAAATTATCATAAGATCCCAATAAAGTACATAACAAACTTACCGCCTTGTCCTCATCTTTCAATTTTTTCACCAACATTATCAAGTTCACAAATGATGTTATTGAAAGTGCTCAAATGATCGGAAACTTTTGTCCCCTCTTTTATTCTTATAGTAAACAATTTTCTCTTTAATAGAATACGATTCGTAAGAAATTTGTTTTTCCAATTTCTCCCATAAGCCCTTTGCCGTCTTCTCTCCCACTATATTGAATAAAATCTTATTTGCTAAGAACAATTGAATTGTAGCCATATCCTTGAGGTCAATTTCCTCCCAATCCTCATTACTCATAGACTCTGGTTTCTTTTCCTTTCTGAGTAATGCTTTGTATAATCCTTGTGGGACCAAAAGATCATGAACTTGAACTTTTCATATCTCAAAATCATTTTGTCCATCGAATTTCTCCACCTCAAACCGATTACTCGTCATTTTCCAAAATATATTGCACAAAACCTAATGCTCTAATACCACTTATTGAAGATCCGAATTCTTGAAACCTCAATTCTATCGATCATCGAATATCACACATTCAATACCAAATATGTAAAATCGATAATTGTATAATAAGGTCAAGGATCATGCACAAGAATTTAAGAAAATAAATTAGAGATAAAAAACATAATCATAAGAGAAAATTAGAGAGACAAACCCCAACACCAATTTAACGTGGTTTACCCCGGAGGGCTACGTCTATGGGCAAGCCGGCAAGTATTCCACTATCAAACGAGAAATTTATAAGGGGATACAGAGTTACCTCAAAAGAAGAGAATTGATGAAAAGACATCACCAAAAATACCTTCCTTGTGATCATCTAAAAGAACACAATTTACCCAGCTTCACTTTGGATGACTGAAGAACATTAACAACACAAGCTCATATCATTCCTCCCAAAAATATGACAAGAAAAACCTTCTTTACCTCTTTCCCTTTCTCAACCTAACCCAAGGAAGCCCTAGCCCCTTTTAGAGAGAGAGGAACTCAAAGGGAAAAGAATCGTGTAACCCAATACAAGCCACCTACTTGCAGTGATAAAAAAGCTGCCAAACAAATAGTAAAAGATAAAAGCATCCAAAAGGTTATTTTTCTATCACCATTCAACAAAAAATACAGATATCAAGTCCAGAAATCCGAAATGCAAGTTGTTTTGGCAATCATGGCGCAAAAAAGAGGGGGAAGAAGGAATGGATAATGTAAAATATGACCCTGAAAAAACCCAAAACAAAACAAAGGGCAGATAGACATTTACATCAACCAAATTCACTCAATTTTTTTTGTACTTGCTCTATTAAAACATCAAGAAATCAATTGATGAACTCAAAGTAAAGAAACATTGATCTCTTAGAGATGAGATAACACGAATGAAACAATGATTCTTCAAAAATCACAGGAAAAACTAGAGTTGAAAGCGGAAATAGGGAGCACCTTGAAGGACTTGGGTTTTATCACAAAGATCTATGGAGATATACAATGCTCTTCCAGATCGCAGGGATTGGCCAAGAATTGAGTCCTCTTCTCCATCGTCAAATTGGATAGAAGTGGGGAGATCAGCGATTCAAACTAGAGACCACTTGGGGGCTTCTAAAAGCATAAAAACCAAATGAATCTTCTTCCCCCTGTAACAACACAGCACAGACCCTCCATTCTCTCTCTCTCTCCAAATTCTAATTGTTGGTTTTGAATATGTGAACAGCAAATGCTGAAGGAGAAAAAAAAAAAAACTCAATAAACAAAATTTATGGAAAGGCCAAAATTTATGAAAATAAAATAAACGCTCCATCTTAAATACTCATCTAGAAAGCACAAGGAAATCTCCCTGATCACTCTAAAATTTTTCCAACAGTAACTATAAATTTTAAACTAAAAAAAATGGTACTGATCTTACAGGTTTGTGAACATTTTTTCTGGGGTAAAATAAACGGTCTAGATAATTTGTTACAATATACATTATTTTTAGAGGTTGAAATTCTTTTTTTTTTTCATAAACATAATGTTCAGGTTGAGATGATCCATGTAAATGTTTTTCAATGCTTGAATTGTAATGTTGGATGAGTTATGAGGTGAAGCTTTACTTATTTTGATAGAGTGTGCAGCTCTATCAAACTATTTTTCAAAATTACCCATAGAAAAAGTTAAAATAAGGTCTAGGTTCTATAAAAATAAAAATAAAGCCTCATCTTAGATCTCACAAAAAATTGTAAGTTTCAAGGTCGAAAAATCTTCAAATCAATCTTCTTGACCTTCACCATTGTGTGTTTGAAAAAATATTAGGATTTCAAGCCCTAAGAAGTGTATTCTAGAGCATGTTATCTATGACAGTCAGTTTTATGTCCTCATGGATATATGAGATCTGTGCTATTTTTTTAGTTACAAATTTCATAATTAATCAAGGAAATAGATTTTAGAGCCATCATAACGATTATCTATGCTTGAAGTATTTTATGAATAAAGTTTTAAAACCCTAGGCCTTATGGAAATTGTATTTTTTTCAAAATTTTGTTTTGATCTTATGTAAGTCTTGCCTTTTCATGGTTTTTTATTTTTATTTTTCTTAAATATCATATAGGTTTTTTATTTTATTTCTAAATTTCTTTGAATGCTAGGGCTGTCTGATTGGCTAGATACCAAATAGCCCCAATTCTAGATCAGTCCAATCTTGCAAACATAGAATGTCCAAAAGTTGGGGTAGTTTAATATTTCAATCATCATACCTCTCCATACTGCATGAATCTTTTCGTAAAAAACATAAGAGAGAAAGCTAAATATTATTATTTTTATGATTGCAATGATATATGGGCTTGAGGCTTTGGTTGGCTTTGGTATGGTTATTTATGAAAATAAAATAAACACCCAATCTTAAAGCCTCAAGCCTATACCCATACCAAAGCCAACCAAAGCCTCAAGCCCATATTCATTGTTGATCCAACCCCAAAGCCTCAAGCTATTCCGGCAAGAAACATGGAAACTTTGATAACTTTCATTCTATTCCTGTAAGCCATAAAACAGCAAGAAACATGGGAAGTTTCACTTTCGACTATAAGACATTTTATTCCATTCCTTTAAGCCAAAATTTCTTGTACATCGCATAACAACAAAGTGATACAACCAATACATGAAAATTAATCACAATAAGGAACTTTAATTCCAAAATTTTGAGCATTATTAGATAAAAATATATATATACAATGTAACTAAAGCAAAATTTCAGATTCTACATGGCACTTGAAAAACATAACATCTTCATAGAACGAAAAACAAAAACAAACAAAGTAGGATGATAGTATCTATTATAGTAAGAATTCTTTCAATTGTATTTATTAAGGAAAACAAAAAACAAAAAACATATTTGAATCATTTTCTTCATTTAATTAGGGGAATACTAGAGTAGAAAAAAAAAAAAAACAATCTTTGGACACATATAAATATGAAAGTTTGCCAGCTATTGATTGATTGCTTAACATAGAGCATTGTTTTCCTCAAGCCTCAAGCGAATACAACAAGAAACATGGAAAATTTGATAGCTTCATTCCATTCATGTAAGCTATAAAACAACAAGAGACATGGAAACATTCACTTTCAATCATAAGACATTTTATTCCATTCCTGTAAGCCAAAATTTCTTATACATCGCATAACAACATAGTGATACAACCAATGCACGAAAATTAATCACAATTTGAAGAGATGTATAATTTGCCACAGGAATAAAAGAAAAGCACCTATACACAGCACACATATACAAAAGGTTTGGCATCTTGCAGAAACAAGGAAGATAAATAGTAGAAAAAAAAGATTGCTTAGCTTATGCCTAGTCCCTTGAGACAAACAAGAGCTCAGACCGCAAATAGATATCCGATATCCACCATTAACTTCGACTCATACCAGAATCAGTAGATGTGTCTGCCATTAGTGCTCCTAATTTGGCCAAATGATCAGTGTCAGTTTCCTCTTTATTAACATGCTAAAAATGACCTCACTTTGTAATAATGTTTGTTGAATTTCATCCAGAATTGATCGCCAAGCCCAAAGGCCTTTCTGCAAATCTCTAGACCACAAAATTACATTTTGAGTTTCCCTCTATAATGATTCTGTTATGGGATTGCTGCAATCCAAAGACCTCCCTTTTCATGTATCTTCTAATATTTCAAAATTCAAACTCAACTGTCTAAATCTTTCATCAAAATGTTCTAATACTTCAAAAAGCTTTCACACACAAACACAGCAGTGCTCCAGTGTGAGCATACTATGCACTTATTTCCTTGAGCAATAGACCTACTTAGGAGGATTTTTGTATCTAAAATTGTGGAAACTTACCTAATAATCACTTGATGATTAGTTTTACAAAAATGGGTTTTTGAGTTCTTGAACATTTGCCTTCCAAAAATTGGATGGTCACAGTTAAATCTTGGAAATTTCCTTCTTCTTCTTGTTCTTATTTTTTTTTTTTTGGGAGGTTAGTCACTAGGTTGACGATGTTATATCTGATTTTACTAGAGGGATTAAATGGACAGCATACTCTTGAAGGAGGATAAAAATCTTTCTTTCTTCTTTTCTGTGTGTAGCTCAAAACCGAGCATGGTTACCTTTGTAATCAAGCTAGTTGGTACACAGAGAGAGAGAGAGAGAGAGAGGAGGAGAGAGAGAGAGAGAGAGAGAGAGAGAGAGAGAGAGAGTAGTCGTACGTAGTCGTCGTTACGTTACGTACGTACGTAACTAACTAACCTAAACCAAACGTAACTACGTAACGTAACGTAAACC